TGTGTGATATTTTAGTTGTGTATGTGAGCAATTTTTGTATTTTGTGTATGTGTGTGAAAGAAAAATTGTATGCGTGCGTGACATTTTACTATGAGTGCAATTTTCATATTTTGTGTGCGCGCATGAGTCTTTAGTCTTGTGTGAGAGACAAAACATAGATTTTGTCCTAAACGGCCCCTCATAAGAAATATTAGCTTGCTAAAACAAAAACTAGCTAACTAGCAGGCTCGGGTTTTTTGCATCTATCATAAAATATAATTTAAAAAGTGCTTAAAATAATCCATTGAAATGTTATTTTCCATGCTCACCTTTCTAATTTGCTGCCAGTCAAATTCTCCAAACTGCTTTGCACTTCAAGCTAGCAAAAGATACTAAATATGTAACTTTACACATCCAGGGCTTGTAAAGATACAACCCCCAAAGCAGGTTGGATATTCTATTTGCATTATTTTCTATCTTTACCTAAGCTGGAACCTCTGTAACATGAAAATTATTTTCGGCAGTCCAATAATGTTTGGTTTCATTTACCAAGATTAAATAATTAGATAGCACACCACCAGTAAACTATACATAAGCCTAATGTCTTAATATCATCATTCATGAACTGGGCAGTTGCACAGAATTCCAATAAAGCTGATAAAATACATTTTTGCTGACAATATTATAAAAATTGGTAAATTGGTGTTTGAAGAGGACATAATTTTAAGCGTTTGCATGGACGTTTGTGTCATTATTGTTTCCAGTGAAATCCAGTCCTAATTCATCCTGACATATATGCCTTCTAGTATCCATTTCTCATAGTGTAGAAAGCTACACATATGAATATTGCATAGCAGTGCATCATTCAATAAAAGCTTTCATTGTAGCGGCTCTCCTGGGCTGAAGTTGAGAAGAGAGAAGCCGGGGTTACATCAGGCTGTTTTTAAGACCAGAGCAGATACTTTTAAAAAGCAGACTAAAGTAGACTGATACCTGTTATTTCCTTCATATTGACAACTTGTAATGATTTTTTGACAATTTTCTGCATCAGCAACCAGAACAGAAAGCCTGGTCTGCATGTTGGGTTTGAATTTACATCCTAATGCACGTTTTAGTCATTAAAGCCATTATTTCTAGTTTGATCATGACTGTATTTCATGTGCATGCCTCCTGCTGTGCCCGTCAGGCTGCCGGAAGGGAAGATAAATAGACAGGAGGACACACATTGGGTTTCTGCAGGGACCGACACGGCAGCAGCAGCAGCAGCAGCAGCAGCAGCACACACCCCTCAGCCGGTGATGCATCCCCGCAGCAAGGACACCGACAACTCCTCCTCAGAGTCGCCTCGACTTTAGGATGGTGCAGAAATCTCTCAACGGCGGGGTTTACCCAACTGAAGGCGGAGAGAAAAAGCACAAAGTCGGCTTTGTCGGCTTGGACCCCGGCGCTCCGGAATCGACCAGGGACGGGGCGCTGCTCATTGCGGGCTCGGAGAGCACCAAGCGGGGCGGCATCCTCAGCAAACCCAGGTCCAGCATCTCCTGCGGGAGACCCAGACCGTCGAAGAAAAATGCCAGCTACCGGAAACTACAGAGTTTTCTCTACAACGCGCTGGAGAGACCGCGGGGATGGGCGTTCGTCTACCACGCTTACGTGTAAGTGCTGTTCCAGTTTTTTCCAGTTTTACTTGGCTTTATATATATATATATATATATATATATATATATATATATATATATATATATGTAATTTTTTGTGTCGGTTATCGTGGCCTTTCTGACTGACTCGGGGTGGGGGAAGCTTGGTGGAGTTTGGAGAGTCTATGGCGCCGCTGCTGTGGTCTCTGCTCACCTGCAGTCAGTCTGTTCGCTGTTCAGCCTCCAGTTCTGCTCCTTCATGCTGGTTGTCATGATGCGGCAGCTTTCAGCACCGCTCAGTGCGGACAGCTCCGGGCCGCCTCGGTACTTTTGTCCGAACATCGCAGAGGTTCTGCTCCGGAATGACTCCACACTTATCCAGCTGCCGCTTTCTGCAGTCAAACTGAAGCTTTATGGGGTTTAAACGGCTACAAGCACTTTAGTCCTTGTCTTTGTGACTCAGGATTAAGTTCGTCTGGGTTCTTATTTCCTGTTTATGGTTTGTTCTGATCATGAAGAAGTTGTTTATTTATTTTCCTCCATTCAGTATTAGTGGCTTCTAAGTTTAAGGGATTACAGTAAAAAATAAATATATTTTTGACACTGCATGTAAAGAAAGAAAATATTGTGAACAAAGAAAAGAACTGATTAAACAAACAGTTGGAAAAAAAAACATTAAACGGTAAAATTCTGCACATTTTAGGCTCCCAGGGTGGAGTTTGGCTCAAGGAGCAAAGAAACTAAATCTTTCTCCTCATAGTTTAAATCTGCTGCTGAGAACATTTATTAGCTACCAGATCCCTGATGACCTGAGGTGACTACATATTAGAAGAAGGAAAAAAAATAAACTAGTAATACAATTTAAAATGTACTTTGACATGTAGAGTCAGAAGAGTTTTGATTTGATGACGTCTTATTTCCAGGTTGAGCCTGGAAATAAGACTCAACCTTATTTGAGATTACTGTAATGACTGAGCCATTACAGTAATCTCACCTACTGCAAGTGAAATCATACACATATTTTTTCTTCTGTCAGATTTTTGTTTGTATTTGGCAAACGTACTAATGGACTTTAAGAGGCTGTTATGGTTGAGGTTTGATTAGTTGCATCTAGTTTTCTGGCATTTTAGCTCTGCATCAAGTCAAGCTGAGTTCTTGGATCTTGGATCAAAAAAGTTTAGTCTTTCCTGCATTAAGCTGAAGGAAGCTCTGTCCATCTGCTGAGATGATGAAAAAGCAACAGGAACTTGTGTGTCATCAATTATGATGTAATAATGGTGTAATTAGAGACTTTAAAGTCTGTGATCTGTTTTTTCTATTTAAATAATTGTCTTTTGCTATTTCCTTTTCTGAAACAAAATGAGTGAGTAAACAGCAGATGGATATTTTGCTAAAGATGCAGCGCAATAATTTAAGATTAAATCTGTTAAAATAGTCAGAAGAATTATAACATAAGGTTCCCCTAATGCTTTTCATAATTAAAAATAAATATGTTTGAACTCTCTTTAATTTTTAGACACCTCATATCTACATGCAGAACTTTGGAAAAGTTTTCACGCCTCCTGATATTTTGCATCTCGGATCTTCAGCACTCAATGTACTTTTAATGAATTTATAAACTCAGTTTTTCCAAATTAAGAGCTGAAAAATACAAAAATTCTAATTCATTAAATACTCCTGCCCTCCTGCCATCACAGCGTTGTCTCTCAGATTTACACATACTGACATGCAGTTCAGCCAAACTCTGAACATTTTCTTTATTTTTTTAGGAAAGACAGAAACTAAAAGTCCACATTCAAGTGACTGACTGAACAGAGCTGTGAGATTTATTTCGTATATTGTTTTGCTTTATCATCTCCTGTACTAATCTGTCTTCATGATGCTGCATCTTATTTAATGTTCTCTCTTTGTTATTTTCTACAAAAAAGCAACCATAGTTTATTTTCTTCCAGTTCACAAACATGCATTACTTTATGTGACCAATCACAAAATTTTCTCGTAAAATACATCAAAGTTTGTTTGTGATATAAGAAAATATAAAAAGCTCCTGAGTGTCTTCATGTAGTTTAAACCTCCTGTGGTTTGTATTTGTACAGTGCTCAGATGAAAACGTGTTTGGATTTGTTTCAAAGCGTCCGTCGCTTTTTGCTTTGGTCAGATACTGAACTGTGATCGGCAACCAGCAGAGAAAATAGCCACAGCAGCAATCAGGCTCCACTGGCATCCTGGAGACCCTGCACACACACACACACACACACACACACACACACACACACACTCTACTGGGGGACTTTTGAAATATTAACGGTTTTCTGCTCCAGTAGCAGCAAGCAGCTTTTTAACAGCCGCTTTGCTCTCTGGCAGACTTTTGCCAGTGTTGTTCTTTGTTTGAATGATTCTGTTTCTAATGGGATTCAGGTGATTAAAATGTGATCTTACTGGTAAATGTAACTGAACAAAGCAGCGCTGTCACAAAGTGAAGCTTCACACAGAAAACATTCAATCTCAATCTTATTCCAAAGGATTTCTACACAGCACTTTGTGCGTTTGTTTTATGAATTATTCATAACCCTCACACTTCATTTAATCTTCCATCTCGCTGCTTCAGCCCTGATGATTTATAAAGCTATCATGTGGAAACATCAGTCACGTCTTTTTCAGACTTCTTCCTGAAGTTGTGGCTAACAAACTCGACAAATTCTTAAACATTCTATTTACAAACAAAACTAAAATACAAAAATGCAAACCTCATTGGCCGCTTCAACGTGAAAGGGTTAATACAGAAACTCCATGTAGCCTCTTGTTGCAGCCCAGCTATGAGCCTCGGTGTCTCACCAAACCTCTCCATCAATTAAGAAAAATAAAGCATGCTGCCAAATACAGAGTGCAGCGTCTAACTAAAAATATGTGCCTAAATGAAACAGCAAATTAAACATTGGTTCCACTCCGGTAACCTCTGCACAACTTATAATAAACATAAAATATTTTACATCACTTTGTCTACACCAGCTTAAAATCATGAAATTAAACCAAACTGTGTAACTGCCGCCGCCACACAGCCTCTAACTTTACAAACAGCAGCAGCAGCAAATATCAGGTTTTGTTTGATAAGCAGAGCCGTAGCACTGTTAATAATAATTCATGTTTTCAGCTTATGTACAAACTAATGGTAGCACTGCAGCATAGCTAGCTGCCATGGGAAGTTAGAACAGGAGTTCTTACACAGTCTGGAAGAAGGTGGAATTTGTTTTTATTCATTTCTAGATACAGAAAAATATGTGTGTTTCCTGACATATCTCCTGACTTTCCCCCTCTGAAATGTACAAATTTGTTTCTAGAATTCAGTTGCTTGGGCAGCTTTGAATCTGAAATCAAATGTGGTTTTTAAACAACAGTTTAACAAAAGTTTTTCAAATTTATGTTGAATTTTATTTTTATAAACTAGTTAATCTTAGAATGCTTCTATAGTGTCACATAATCTGAAACAGAACTGATGTATTTTTGATCAGATGCTAAAAGAAAAGCACTGAAAAAGCTTTTTCTAACCTGAAACCAAGCTTCTTCAGCATGAACAGGATAAAACCTCAAATCTCCAGAATGTTCTAAAAACTGTTGGAAAAATCTAGAAATCTTGGTCTGGATGAAAAAATAAAAATAAAACCTAACTGCTTCAAGAGTTATGTTTGTGTTTTTTGGTTATGCGGGAACCATTTTGGTAGACATTTCTCATTCCTCAGTCAAGCCCCGCCTCCTGCTGGTGATGCTGTGTATTACACTGAGGCGTCCTTAATGTCAGAGTCAAAATCAGGTTTTATTGTCATCATACAGAAGCTCAGTGAAGTTCGTCTCAGTAGCCCATCCAAAGACAAGACAAATAAACACCATAACTCATGGGTAGACGTGCTTCCCTTTAAACTTTGACTGTCAGATTATTGCTCCAGTCAGTGAGTGTACTTAGCTCTTTTTTTGTATATTTCTGTGCAAAAAACTAAATTTGATCAAATAAATTAGAAGTTTGGTTGTAGAGAATCCATTAAATCTTTGGAGTTGTAGTTGATTCCAAAGCTGTGGGTCTGGATTCCACTCAGGGCCATCAGACACCACATGAAATCATCTGTGTTGCTCTGTGTGTGTGTGTGTGTGTGTGTGTGTGTGTGTGTGTGTGT